CAGGATGATACCAAGAATATAGATTGGCGAGCTGGGCAGACCTGGCTGAAGACGCGGGACAGAGTTGTCCGACGATGTTTCCGCAGTCCGTCTCCGATCTAATTAGACTAAACCAAGGGATGTTGGAATCTCAAACGGCCTGCGGCTCCTCTAACGACATTTCACGCCGTTTCCACGCCCACTTTCCCCGGGATACTCATCATTAATCGAACCACACGCGGCCTTTGTCCTCCAGTCGGTTCCTTTACATTTAAAAGCCACGTTCGTGGTGACCGCGGCTATTTATATGATTACATCTCTAAGCTACTTCCGCTGATTGAAGTGCTGTTCAATCTCGCCAAGCATCAAGGAGTTCCAAAATACGCTTCAGCTACGCCTTCTTGAAGGCCAGGCGGAAAAGACCGTACGATATCAGACTGAGACTCGTGAGAAGATTGGAGCAGCAGTGAGCATTGGCCCAGAATTCTTCATGGTAGGCGTACATTCACCCAACGGGCTCGAGTATCTTAGGATTTTGCAAGCCGTCAAGCTCCGTATGAAAGTATCCCTGGAGTGGGGCATGTTCCTATATGTATAGGTCCACGGATGGGGGGGGCCATCCAATGAATAAATTATATATCAGGATCAGATTTTTCCACTGGGTATAGCATATGCAAACATTATTTTCCACAAGATCCAAATTTGGGTCGCCGATTTTCCTAGGGATATACGGGTCCTCCGGTGGCTCAGACGGCTGCGCGGCCTTGCGGTGTGCTTGCCGCTCCTGTCGGGAAATGAGTTCTTGAGATTGTTCTTGAAAATTTAGTGTCCAGTCGGATCCCAGAAGGTTATCGTCTTCCTCGACTTCCTCCTGGACGTCTGGGTCTGGAGTAATAGCAGCGATCGCCTGCAAAATCTCCTCGCCAATGCGGTTAATCTGTAACATATTCGCGGTGAGCCTTCGATGCAGAGATTCCTGCTGTCTTTCCAGCATTTGGATCCGATGAAGAAGAGCCTTAAAGACTGCCTGCGAGCTGACTGATCGTGGGCCACGACGAGAAAGATTAACCGCTACAAAGGGGGGTATTAGCCAAGTTCGTCACTTCGTTAGATAGAGAAAGTTCGTTAGATCCTAATTTTAGAAGAGAAAATTCGTTAGATGCTAATTTAAGGGATGAAAGTTCGTCAAATAACATTGTTTCTATGAATTTTCGTAAGATTAAACTACAGGTTCGTCAGATTGTACTTTAAGTTCGTCAGATAGCGCTAAATTTCGTGAGATGAACGTTTTCCAAACGTTACATCACGTGGTTATATGCTTCTTTCTTCCGCTCCACCACCATCTCCTCACGCAGGCCATCGCGGCGGCCCCCGCACGCTCGGACAGCACGTCTATACGGAAGCAGCGCTCCGACGCTGGTACTCGTCGGACGAAGTGCTAGCCAATAGCCCGAGCCAGACAAAGACCGAGTTTGACGTTATCAGCGGCGCGGACGCCGTGCGTTTACCGGCCTGAGGCGCGTTGCGAGGTACGTGCCTGCCATTGAATCACTCATTCCCTGCTTCCTCCGAATTTTGTTTTATTTTATTTCTGCTTTTGCTCTGCTTTTGCTTTGCAGAGAACGTTGCGCACTCCTCAAGGACACAAAGGATCCGAAGGCGCTGGACAAAAAACCTGTCGTGGTCGCGCTCCCGCACAGCGACGCCGACGCCGGGGGTCGTGGACTTTGATATGAGCTGGAGGTGGAAGACAGACGGTGAGTGTCTTCGTCCTTAGCTTCATCCCTGTCCCGCTGTCGCATCCTTTTTTTTTTTTTGCTTTCATTTTGTTCCGCTCCCCGATCGCATTCTTTTCGCTTCCACCATTATTTTTGGCCTCCCTCCTCGTGTCCTCTTTTTCCCTTTCCCTCCTTTCCCCGTTTCTTCCCCGTTCCCTCCTCCTCTTCCCTTCCATGTCCGCCCCGTTCCCTCCGTTCTTCCATATCCGAGGTCATCCCACACACCCCAGTGGCGCCCGCAGCACTGCAGACTTTATTCATGCATGGCGCACACGCATCGGGGCTGGCCACGCAGTCTGTACGTCTGTCCATGCGAGCGCGAATGTTGGCTGCTTTCGGGGTTGTCCTCGCCTGAATAATTAGTTACATGGTCGCGTAGTTCGCTTTACTTTAAAAAAAAGAACCTTGAGTTAGCCCGCCATTTGAACGAGTGGAACTTGTGCGTGTAATCCGACAAAGATGCCGCTATGCCGCAAGATGCCGCGCATCCCATATTAAGTGACGAGCTTTCTCAACGGTCGCGTGCAACCTCGTTCAACCCGACGAACATTCATAAAAATAATGTTATCTGACGAACTTTCATCTATTAAATCAGCATCTGACGAACTTGCTCTTCTAAAATTAGGATGCGACGAACTTTCGCTATCCAACGAAGTGACGAAGTTGGCGGAGGCCCCTGCAAAGGACAGCTGTGAGTGACAGATCGATGACGGAGGCGTGCCTTTGAACTAGACTTATGTGAGCTTCACAGGGCCAACTTCCCTCCACCACTCAGGCTCTGTTTTCTCCCTGTCGCCGTGGTCGGCACTGGCGAGCTCAAAACGACACCTACAATTAAATGAAGATCAGCCCCAACTTGTATTTAGTGAACGCGGAACAAACCCTTCAACATGCAGGGATTAACATCACACGGTGTCGCCGACGCATTCTTGTATTCTAATCCCAAGCTCCAGTCGGGAAGCGTGCTATCACAGACTGGTCATCCAAAGTTCTCGTGAATTCGCTGGGCAACTTGGAGCAATAAACCGATGGCACCTGAGGGCTCCGGGTCTAGCGAGCTGCCTGCAGTCATATTTGTGTACTCCTCGATGGCCTGAGTGTCACCCACTTGGGTATTCTGCCAGCCGTATTGCGAATTAACAAGACTTCAAGTTGCGACAACAGCATTAGCTGGCGTGCAATTTTACAGGACTCGACTGAACTTACTATGCGCTGACAGCCCAACCCTGCTGCTTTTGCTCGACTCGCGACAACGGGGGTGCCTGGTGCGCGATTGATGTGTTTGGTGAAACTGGCAAGTCACCAGGAAGTCACACAAACCTTATCTTTGATCTCGTCTTTTGCGCGAATCGCTTTTTCCCTTTCCCTCGAGCCCCCGCACAGGCTTTCCTCATGAGCCTTCGCACTCCGCACCCCAGTGTTCGGCACTCTCCCTACTACCAGCCGGTCTCGAGGTCATCTTCGGGGCTCTTTGACGGATGCGGCCCAAACAGCCCAAGTGACAACTCGCTCTTCAGCTTGTCCCAGACCGTCCCTCAGCCTTCGAGTCTCCGCGACTTTGGAATGGATATTTCCAATACTCTTGCCCTCCCTCCGCCGCCTGGCCCGCCCCAGAACGCCGGCTTGTCCGATACCGCTCTGCTCATCACTAAATTCAGTGCGCATCTGGCCTCAACGACCAGCGCCGGCAGCTGGCGCATGAGTTCAACGTGGTATTTGGGCTCTCTTCTCCTCATAGTCAGCGCTCTAATCTTTGCGTTAAGCTCATGCTTGATCTGCAAGCAAAATTGTCCCTCATGTACCTCCAGAGCCTTCACCAGGCTCAGCAGATGTCGGAGATGCGAGCTTCCTTGGAGAAGATGGATCTCAAACTTGACGAAGTGGTGAGGCATGTCAAGACAGCGTGGTCTTGTCTACCACTGAGTCCTTTGTAGACCGCATTGAAGGCACTGCTCGGGAACTACCTCCTGCGGCCGTTTATAACCTACCGCAGTGTTGTCGAGTCCGTATTGGTATGTCCGCCTCAAACTCGCGCCAGACCCGACATAGTATTTATTGTGCATATAGGCATATATTGGCAGTAATCGTAGCAAGTACCACCTCGAACACTTCTTGACCGACGAGGTGATCAAGACCACCATCAAGGCCTTCCTTCGCGGAAAGGTTACCGACATCAAAAGTGGTTATCCAAAGCTGGTATGTCCATCCACGTTCATTCGTGGGCTTTAGTGATATTTCATAGTTATTCAAGCGCGTCCACTACCTCCTCGATATACTAATGATTTCAGACTACCATCTCTCTCCCGCATCGATCAAGGATGAAGAAAAATAAAGATCCGTGCAGTCCTCGCTTTACAGGTGTGGCTGAATTGTTATCTATTTTTGTCTTGACTCATCATAGCCTTCACCCATCAGCGAAAGCTAGCCTTGCCTCTTGCTGCCCGCAGGAATGCAAAAGGAGCCGATACCGGCTTCTGGTCGGTCCTCGAAAAGGAGCTGAAAACTCTTAAAAGGAACGCACGGCGCGGACCGGGCATCGGCGAGCTGGAAGCAGCGAATGTTCTCGTATATTCAGTGCTTCTAGTTTACAACTCGGGCAGGTGGGAGCAGGAAATCATTGCGGCTGACATTTCTTTACATGCTGGTGAAGCTGGCGAATCCGGCCAACCCCACAGCAGGGATGAGGATCAGAATGACGAGCAGAATGACGACTCGACGAGCAGAATGCGCCGCCGATCGAGACAATGGCGGGTTAATTACTTAATTATTAAGAGATAGTAGTACATACTTTACAACCATGAATGTATTGCCCACGATTTGCTTATGAAAACCAAATGAATACTAATTTATTATACCAGCAGACAAAATGACTTCGCCTCATCCAGACAATCAGGCCATCAACATACGATCAGTGTTCGGAACTATCCCCGGAAAACCACAGACGGTTCCACTGGGCCTCCTTGCCGACCGGTGGAAAACAGCTGATCCCACCAGTTTCATCCACCGACAGGCTTTTCTGTGGAATCCCACTGGTGAAACAGTTGGCAGTGTAGATTAGGGTGTGCTGATATCAGCACTGAAAACAATAAACTCGGCCCGTGTTTTGATCCGCACGAAACAATAAGATTTGGGCACAGTTTCGGGAACCGAGCTTAGGTCATTATAATACCCATTGTGAATTTCTTTTTTGTCTTCTCTCTGCCAAAATTTTGCATTATGCTGGTTTAAAGGAAGGAGCAGGAAGACCTCATAGCGAAATTGGTATTGCATTCACACCCTTTAGATGTACCGCTGTGGAAGTCCCTCGTTCGAACCGAGGTTAGGTTGTGAGCCATTGTTCCGTGTTTTCCCCCTTCTCCCTCATAATTTTGCAGTAATGAAGGTTGAGATGTATAGAAACCAGATCTAATATCGAAATCGGCACCGCATCCATTATAGCATCCACTTCCGTTGGGAAAAGATGCTGCAGTTTCTGTGGAAGTCCCTCGTTCCGAGGTTGGGTCATGTGCATCATGGATGATTCGGTGTCCACTTCAAAAAAATTATATTCAACCCACCCAAAAGGACGCACATTGCCAAGGACAGATAAAGGCGAGGAAGACCTCATAGCGAAACTCGGCATCGCATCCACATTTGGTTGACCGTGTCATCCAGGATCAGAGCATATGTGGAAGTCCTTCGTTCGACTCGAGGTTAGGTCCTGCTCGAGTGACCAATAATTTTTTATTCAAAAGCCTAAATAATTTCGCGCGATAGGGTAGGAAAGACTTAACAGCGAAAATGGTATCGCATCCACTCCCCTTGGGTGAACACGTTGCTGCTATGCGGAAGTCCCTCCTTCGAATCGAGGTTAGGTCCTGCCGGCTGTGTTTGAACCCAGCTTTTTTTTCACCCTACCCCATGGTCCGAAGCATGTACCTATCCAAGGGCAATGGAAGAGAAGAAACACCTAGTAGCAAAAATTGGTATCACGTCCACTACATTTCAGCTTGCCCAAGGCCCTCGTTCGAATCCGAGGTTACTAACCTCGATTCGAACGAGGGCCAAGGTTTATTTTTATTCAACCCCACGCTGCGCAAAGCGCAAAATGGTCCGATATCAAGCAAGGTTCGAGTGTACAGGAGCAAGACCTAATAGCGAATATGGTATCGCATCCACTGCCGCTGAGAGGAGATGCTGCCGTTTCTGTGGAAGTCTTTCGTTCAAATCGAGGTTAGGTCATCCATCCCATCCAATGCTTTTTTACCCTCCCTTCAAGTATTAGAAGGAAATATAGCAGTAAACCAGGGCTCAGAATTACAGGAGGAAGACCTGATGGCGAAATTATCATCACGTTCGCCTCAGTTGTTGTTGGCCAAGAGGTGAAGTGGAAGTTCCTCGTCCAAAATTCGAATCGAGGTTAAGTCGTGATCCCATTGGTTGGCTGCTCGAACCTTTTTCTTCTTCTTTCCTCAAAAATTTGCAGTAATCGAAGTTGAGAAAGGAGGGAGGAAAACCTAATAGCGAATATTGTACGCATCCACTGCCGTTGAGAGAAGATGCTGCAGTTTCTGTGGAAGTCCCTCGTTCGAATCGAGGTTAGGTCCTGCCAGCTTTGTTCTAACCCAGTTTTTTTTTTCAACCCACTCAGAAAGCATGCACATTTCCAAGGGCAAGTAAAGCGTAGGAGAACCTAATAGCGAAAATGGCATCGCGTCCACTGCACCTGTTGCACGCACTTCAAATTGTGTAGAAGCCCCTCCTTCACATCGAGGTTAGGTTGTGAGGACGTACTCGAGGAGGTTCTTTTTCTTCTCCCTTGGAAATTCCCACTCATCGAGGTTTAACTTGGCAGGGTCACATATCGTTCTTACATGAAAGCCCCTCGTTCGAATCGAGGTTGGGTGAGCGCTTGAGCCATTGTTCTCATTTTCCCCTCCTCCCTCATAATTGTGTAGTATACGAGGATTTGACGACGCTTAAAGGGAGAGCAGGAAGACTTAATGGCGAAAATGGTACCGCATCCACTCGCACTGACCAAATATACTCTTGGTTTTGTGGAAGTCTCTCGCTCGAATCGAGGTCAGGTCATGGATCCACGTGCACTTTGTATATGCCTTTTTTTATTCATCCCACACTAAAGCCCGAAATAATCATACACCTATCCAAGGACAAGTAAAAGGGAGGAATACCTAATGGCGAAGATGGCATCGCACCCACTGCACTTAACGGTGCGCACAGTTCTTCTGTGGAAGTCCCTCGTTCGAATCGAGGTAAGGTCCTTCGCCCAAATCTGCCGTTCTTTTTTTACTCACACAAAATTCCAGAAAAAATTACACACATCTATCCAATGGCAAGGAAAAGGAAGGAGGACCTAATGGCGAAACCTGCATCATATCCACTCGCACTGACCAAAGATAGTCTTGGAAGTCCCTCGTTCGAATCAGGTTAGGTTGTACGTCTATGTTGTCGCCTTTCTTTTTCTTTTTTCATTCAACCCACCTAAATCTGAAATATTCCGGTATCGAGCAAGGTTCAAGTTTATACCAGGACTAATAGCGAAAATGGTATCGCATCCACTCCTGCTGGGACGAATGCGTGGGTTTCTGTGGAAGTTCCTCGTTCGAATCGAGGTTGGGTCATGCTTCTTCCCACCACTTTTTTTTATTCAACCCACCCAAAAGCTCCAAATAGTCTGGCATCAAGCAAAGTTCAGGTTTATACCAAAAAGACCTGATAGCGAAATCGGCATCGCATCCACTGCACTTGACAGAGGACACAGTTATGTGGAAGGCCCTCGTCCGAATCGAGGTTAGGTCCTGACCCAGTCTGTCCTCCAATCCCTTTTTCATTCAACCCACCCAAAATGCACGGACATTTCCAAGGGCAAGTAAAAAGGGAGGAAGACTTAATAGCGAAATTGGCATCGCATCCACTGCACTTGTGCTTGAAACACGTGTGATTTCGCAGAAGTCCCTCGTTCGACTCGAGGTTAGGTCATACGTCAGAACTCCCTCTTTTTTATTATTCAACCCCACACACAAAGCACAAAAATAGTCGGGTATCAAGTAATAATCAAGTCTTAAGGAACAGATTGATTCAGATCCCTATCATCTCTGAGAAACATATTAATTTGGGGCCGCCTACACCGATTAGTTAGTCTGCCAAAAAGCCCGGACGCCGGTGGCAATCGTGGTACGGCTGCTGGCGTGACTATTGGCGCACTCCTCGGTGTCCTCTTGACTTGGCCCGCAATAGTACTCGACCATATACTGAGTGCTGCCGTCGATAGGCGTGATCGCGAGTACGCACTGACGGGCAGCGCTGTTTCGCAGCGTCACTTCGCCTGTTTCGCAGTTTAAAGCGAACATCGAGTTGGTGGTAGTAGGCAGTTGACGCTCCATTAGCTGTGGATGTAGGCATATAAGTGTAAAAAAAAGTGCGGAGGCAATGGACATTGGGAGCTCACAAACACTCCCGGACACGTTTGGGACGGCCCGAAATTGAAGCCATTGGCTCCTCTGATTTCAAAGTCGACATTGATGTTTTTACCGACGGTAGTGGGATTTTTGATGTACATGCTCAGTGTGGATCCAATGCTATTTGATGTTTTCGGTTTCTGAAAGATCAACTTGCCGCGTGTGTTCTCAGGAAAACACGCCGGACGAGGTGGTAGTAGTGCGACGGCATTCAGTTGCGGGTAGCCGGGGCCTAAAGCGACCAACATCTAACATTTTAGTATCAAATGAGTCCCTTTGTTGGAATAAATCCACAAAGACCTGATTGAGTGTGATGCCAACACAAGCAGTCTTGGTCTCACGCAGTTTGTTGCCGTAAGCGACCGCTAGCTTCGTTCCCAAATCACTCGCTCGAATCCCATAGATTGGCTGTAGCGGTGGCCAGGTACTCGTAAAATTGGACCGCCATCGGGGGGCTGAATTTTCTTTTTGTGCGGCGGTCGTACGCCTGGAGTTGCTCGATGATTGCCTGAGCGGTCGCCTGAAATTTCCCGGCGTTCGCAGTGAGATCTGGAACAGTGGAAATATCGAAAATTCAATGATCAGGTAATGGAAATTGAGAAAACATACATGCGGGAAGGGCACCAAATCCTCGCATGAGCTTTTCGAGTGTTGCCCGTGAGTCTGGACTCCATCTTCCATATAATTTCGTCAATTTTAGGCGTCTTGCACATGAATCAACGCACTCTTCCAATCCACTCTTACCCACACTTTTAGTAGTTCCCAGTCTGCGTTGAAATACTTAAGGACGAGTAGGTGGAAATATTACCATATTCAACCCACGTACGTGTGTTTCTTCGCTGCATTGATCAAGTCATTCGCATACACTTTCATATTGAACGTCGGTCAAGCAGGTAATCTTGGGAGCAGAAAAGCATACCCAAATTTACCACCGAATCGATACGGTTCGACAATAGCCTGTGACTCAGGAGTATAATAGAAGTCCCTAAACCTGGGATCGGAATTGCGTTATCAATACTTAGGTTGGTTCGACAAGCTCGCTTACCATGTGCCATCGCATTGATTAAACACTTGTTTCTTATTGAGGCTGGATAGCGGCCCCCAATTCCTCGGGTCGGCCAGGAATTTGGTCATGAATTGGCTGAATGTCTGAAATTCGAACACATGTTCAACTATCGCGAAAAATGAGTCTTTATTATAATTTTGATCCAGGATTTGTCACTTGCTTTCGAAGGTATCATCAGGTCTCCCTCCCATTGTGTTCGTTTCATCAATGTCGAAACTGTTCCCCGCCACCGATCTGAAATCGAAAACTTGGTGCGCAAAGCCGCTTTTACCAAACTTCACAGCACCTGATTAAATAGAAAGATCCATCCTCTCGTCCTCGGTATCATCTGGGAAGTACGCACCATTGTTGGTCGACTCTCTCTTTGGATATGTCTTGCCCATCTTTCCCCTGCATCCTGAGATAGCTGAGGTAGGTTCCATTTGGTAAATCTGCGGAAAAAATTGAGCCGGGGTTGCACTCACAACGAAGACCATCCCTTTTTCGTAAGAGACTGTAGTGTAATCTAGTAATGAAGCTTCGAACTCCGTTTTGAGCATCAGTGTCGCCGTCCCCTTCATCAATGTCGTCATCCGGGTCGTCGGAATTACATGCAGAGTTACATTTTGTAACCACGGGCCTGGGACACGTCGAAGATGACGGAGCAGCTGAAGACGATTCCGAGGAAGAGGTGGTACTGGCAGGAAGAGACGAGTGATTCTCTCCCGGATCATCTGAGCCGGGTGGTGGAACTGGAACTGGGTAGATCCCCCCTACTTCAACAATTCCTGGCGGAAGAGTCCCAACGATTTTTCCGCCTGCTCCAATGACGAACGTTCCGCCACCAAAAATTGCCCCAATGACAACCGTAGACGAAGAGGAAGGCATGGGAATAGCTGTTGAATACCCCCCCGCACCAGTAAATGTCCTACATTCTCAAATCAACACCATGCAAATCAGATGATCTGGCCATGCTTAACAGTTCGGTAGCCCCAGCTGGAGGTAGTGGATTAGTGTCTGGCCACAACAACAGTCAGACGGGAACATGATGATGATGCAATTCAAGGTAACCCACTGAAAACGGGAACCGTGAATCCAGGTTGAGAAACGGAAGGGGGAAAATTTCCGATGAGGCCACCACCAGGACCAATGGTAACTCCATTCAGCATCGTTGTCGTTGATTCAACCGTGCCAAAGACAGTGCTCATTCCATTCTTTCCGCTCAGAATTTGGGAAGTAACGAGGGTGGTCGTCGAAAGAGAGGGTGAGCCGAGAGGAATTACTGTAGTGGAAGCCGGGAGAGAAATGACTGTAGTAGTGCCCAGTGCGATGAGAGTCTCCACGCTAGCACCACTTGGGGCCACAGGCCGAGTATCCGGAAGTAATGAAGAAATTCAAGGAGTGTAAACAGGTTGAGGAGAGCCCATACTCACTGAATTCGATAGATGTAACTAACTGGCCAGACCTGGTCCAAGGTGTAGACAAGGTTTCGAAAGAGCTGATATGTGTTGACTGACTTTGAGAATCTGGTCCGAGAAGCACTCGTCCTAGAAGCGGAGACCGAGGAATGGGATGAATTTCCATGCCAAGGCTATTCAAATTAGTACTAAAAAATGGCAGCGAATCGAGATTCCTGATAACACATACAAGCCGAGAGGAATGAAGCCAGCCATCAAATTGCTTGTATGTTGCTCGTGTACAATTAGATCCGCAAGCCTGCACAATTATGAGGCATTAAATATACGTTGTTTATGAAGATGGAATAGAACTGACGAAATGTGTAATTGACATCCAGGTGGCGGAAAGATTCTCCATGTCTCTATATCAGAGCGTCAGCGTTGTGGGATTTCTTCTTGCAATCCAACCCACGGCGGCGAAATGCTTGAATTTATTGTCCGCAGCACGTCAACATAAAAGTCAGTGTAGTTCTCTGATGACATGAATTCGTGAATGAGACTTGGACACTATCCACACAACTGACCAGTTGAAATGGAACATCCATCGGTCTGGGACGCGCATGACCCCACGATTTTGGTATATAACTATTGTAATATAGTCAATGTGCTAATCAATATCGAGGGAAGGACTCACGGTGTCAAAATCTAAGCTGGCTTGATCCTTTAAATTAGGGCAAACACTGGTTTGGGAACAGAGACTATTCAGGAGTCTCCCAGGCTGCAACGATATCAGAGATGTCATCATGTTAAGAGGAGTGGTCTCGCACTCCTGAACATGTGGCACCCGCCACACAACTGGGGATGGACCATGTGCTATTGGCACTCTAGACTTTGGGTAAAAATGCAGTCATAGTCACCTTCTTTATACGCACCGATTGGGAGAAATTTTGGCTGCACGAGGTAGTGAGAAGTTTGCATGTTGAATCCGTCCCCTTTGTTTGAGAGATAATCGCCGCAGAGGATATTTGGGGTCGGCCAGCGACAGGCGTTACAATTGAAGTTTGTGGAAAAAAGAAAAATGTTGCTGCCAGCAGCAACATTGCGAATGAGGACCTGGTGGAAGATACATGACCCAATAGAACTTATATCTAGGTGCGGGGTTGTCTAGTGTACAGGGTACAGAACTCCGTGTTAAATCTTGAGAATCTTGAGATCGTTGCACCTCGTACTGGTAAACGTTCCTGATGGCGCCTAACAAGACAGCCTGTTCCGGTAGCAGTCTGGAATTCGGTGATTCCGCCATGCCGCATGCTGTAAGACCGATTCGTCCATTTATTTATTTGTGGCAGTACAGGACGTAGACCGCCGCAAGGGGATCTTCAGATCGCCGCTCAACAGACTCGTCTATGACATACCAGACCGCTCCGGTCGACAGGTCGGCGTTCAATTTGCCGTGGATGCGATGAGCGGAAGTAGGACATGAGCGGCAAATGGAAGACGCGCAGGCTCGTGACATGTCGTTGCTGATCGGGTAAATATGTGCTACTAAAACAGATTATGCACGGTATAATATATACACCCCCCCTCCCCCCCGTGGTTCGTTCTCCCACCTTTGCTCATTTCCATCATGCCCAACATCTCTACCCCATTTCACTCAAACCTCACAGTCTCCTACTCGTGTAAAATGTGCTTCTCTGCGGATGGCCATACCATTGTATGGG